GCAGCGCTGTCGTCATCTGTTTAGCTCGCCTCTGGCCCGCCTATATCAGATACACCGATGTGATTGGTGCAGCTCGGCTCCAAGGGCATGAGTAATGAGGATCATTACTGATTGCCAGAGTGACTTGCTGAGCAAATTCAAATTGTGCTCTCGCAAGAACTCTGGATTTCCAGGGTACAAAATAATTTCAAAAAATAAAATACGGTCAACTAGTTCTTTGTCCCTTTAGATGACAACGACATTTTTTATGAGTCAAACACATTTGAAGGATATTTAAAACTGCTATGCAAAAAGAAAAGGCTACATCCTTTAAGTTCGATTCCGACCTACAGCCCTTTGACGTCGTCTTGATGGCAGCATATGTTGCTCCTAAACCTGTATGTACCTTTGAGCGTTCATGTTGCCTTCACAGATGTGCAGGTTACCCATGATGCCACGGGCACTGACACACCCCCATACCATCACGGGTCCAAGTCATTGGTCCGACAGCCCATTAGTCCGATGTCCCGTTGTTCCGATATGTGATTATACTAGGCTAGACTGTATTTGTGTACCATAGAGGATCAGCAAAAGCAACAAAAGTAGGATACTGGTCGAGATACAAGTGTCATAGAGACGAGAGAATGAAACACCATAACCTCCTGTTATTAACTCTGGGGTCGGGGTTGTGTAGGGAGCTCTCCGTGGTGCTGAACAGCTCCCGGAGGGCGTATTTCTGTCTTGATGGTGCGCAGCGACCAGCTCTGGGTCAGCTGGGAAAGGCTTGAGGCAAAGCAGGCTCACAGCTTATGTGTTTGCCACTTTCTTTTTCATTTTAACCCACACCATGATCTTTTCCTAACCATAACCAAGTGGTTTTTGTGCCTAAACCTAACCAGACCTTAACCACAGGGCATCATGATGATTTCGGAACAACGGGACTTCGGAACAATGGGTTTAATATGGTCGGACCAATGGGATGTCGGACCAATGGGCAGACCTCACCATCACAGATGCTGGCTTTGAACTTTGAGGTGTAACAATCTGGATGGTCCTTTTCCTCTTTGGCACGGAGGACATGACGTGATAATTTAATCTGGGGCTGGGCGCCGTTAAACAATAACAGCGACTGGCCACGTAACATGCTGGCGTGAAAGGACAGCTTTTTTCATCTGTGTCTGAAATCGGAAGTCACTGACCAAGCGCGGAATTTCAACGACTTCGGAATGAGACCAGGTTGGGATTTCATGTAATATTATTACATTTACTTCAAGCAATGTGCCAGTGATCGGCACATCAGATACCAAATCAATACATTTTGTAAATATTACTGTAACAAATCATTTAATCATTTTAGCAAAAGAAGCAGAAGTTCTCAAATGCTAAATTTTGGCTCAACAACCAGCTGCACAACAAACAAGAAAATGCCTACTATCGAAAATATGATTGAAATCAGGAGATATAAAATCAAAGAATGTGAATCAAATGATGAATCTGAGCAGACATTAAACATCAACATGACACATTTTACGTTGTTATAAAATGAGATTTGATTCTCAGCACTAAATGTGATCATTTTCCAAACACACGCACCACTGATTTACCCTCTGTTACTGTGAGTATAAGTGAAATTTATATGGCCTTGAGTAAACTTCACTCTTTGTAGAAAGCTATAAATATGTAACAGAAATCAATATGAGAATCAATTTTCTCCAACTTTGGATCGACATGTTCAACAACAGTGCCTCGCTGGCCTCAGCGTGCACAGCCAAACTAAATCACACACACAAGGCTGCAGAGCACAAACACTAATGAGCTTCTACACATGGAGTCAAAGTGCAGCAGCATCCATTCATTATCAGCACAGAGGCGCTAAATAATTAACAAGACCAAGTTTAAATGTAAGTCATTATTTATTTATACTTGTTTTCATTTTTCTTTTTTTCTATCAGTACAGCAGCTTCTGGGAGTGATGAACACACTGTGTGAACAGAGAGCGCAGTGTCTCTTTTCCACAGCGCTGTGGTTCTCATTGAGACAGTATTTATCGTCACCCAGCTGTGCATCTGCTTCTACTGTGCTCCCACCACATATTACATTATCACTGTTGGCATCTCCAGGTTTCTCGCTTGTAAAAGACTTAAAGGTTCGCATGTAACTCCATGGGCTGAATTTTTCAGCTCAGCTATCACTCCGCCCATCTTCTAAACGAGCAGAGGCTTATAATACAGAAAATATCAGGTAGTGGAGCTTTAAAGGAACACGTCACCGCCCAATTGACCATTTGTATATCAGTTACACACCCAGAGTTACATTAAATTCCTGAAGAAAACCTGCTTATTCTTGCATGCCTGCAGTGAACGAAAAATCCAAAAACTGGGAAAACTGTTGATGTATTGAATTCATAGGGGTCCATGTGTTCATTTTACGAGTCGTATACTCGGAACTTCAGCTAAAACATGAAAACCACTGACAGGAGAAGTGAATAACTTTGATTATTTTGTTCCAGTGCATTGTTCTGCTGGGAAACCTTTGGTTCTGGCATTCATGTGGATACCACCTGACATGTTCCACCCATTCAAACACTGTTGCAGACCAAGTACCCCCATTACAAATGGCCTGTGGAGCGTGACAAAAAGCTCAAGGTGTCGACCTGGCTTCTAAATTTCCCAGGTCCCAATCTGCTCAAGGATTCTTGTGATGTGCCGGTACCCCAGATGTACCCCTAATCCAAGGTGGGGCCTCCTTGGATCGGACTTGGCTCTGACCTGTGGAGGCGTGGACACAGGATCTCTGGGAGTGTCCTGCGGTGTCTGGCACCAGTGCGTTGGTGGCAGATCCATTTAGTCCAGTGGGTTGTGAGGTGGGTTAATGGCACGTGCCACAGATGCTCATTCAGATTGGGATCTGGGGAATTTGGAGGCCAGGTTGACACTTTGAGGTCTTTGTCACATTCCTTGGGCCATTCCTGAACCATGCTCGCAATGTGGTGCATTATCCTGCTGGGGGGCCACTGCCATTGGGGAGTACTGTTGCCATGAGGGGGGGGGTACTTGTCTGCAACGGTGTTTGAGTGGGTGGAACATGTCAGGTGGTATCCACATGAATGCCAGAACCAAAGGTTTCCCAGCAGAACAATGCACTGGAACAAAAATAATCACAGTTATTCACTCATATAGAAATGGTCAGCTGGGGTTGAAGTGTTCTGCTAAGCAGTGGAATATGTGGATAAGCTATATGTGCAACTAGAGTGTGGAAAACTAGAGGAATAAAAATATCTGTGTTTTCCAAATTACTGGTTTTGGCAACATCTGTAATTGAAACATATTTTATAATTAAGCTTTGTTCCACCACAAACATCACATCTACTTCTGAACACAGCACACATTTCTCATCAGCAACAGGCGGACTGATCCACACACACAGTCATGAACAAACACAGCAGGCTCATAAATCCTCTACACAGGCTTTGTAGGAATAATATAGACGAAACACCTTCACAGAGTCAAGTAACCAACAGTCCACAGCAGCAGCCTGCAGCTTCACTGATCTTATCCTGCAGACTCTTCTCCTCCCCTGAGCCTCGCTGTCCTGCCTGTAGCTGCATCGTACTGCGCACCACCAGCTCCACGCCACAGAGTGCATTTCACACAATAGTATGGTGCCGTGTGAGGCAGAGAGGGGCAATCATCTTTTCACTCGCATGCCCTTTTTTAATACTGTATTCTGCTTTTTTGAAAACATTTTCCCACAAGCTAAGACCTTCCATTATTCTGACAGCTGTACTCACATAAATCACCAGCTCTCATGTGACTTGACTGTTTGAAATGTAATTTATTCATGGGGAATGGTAAACTTCTTGTTCATTCATGAAGTCCAGCCTGAGGCTTTAAATGAACATTGTTTGTATGGAGGAGGATTTCCCTCCGAGCAGTCAAGATAAATTCTGTCACATTTTAAAGACACATTTCATCTGTTGTTTTTAAGCTTCACCACATGTCACACATGACTCTGCTGCAAAACATCACTGTATTAGCTGCATATAAGAAATTAATTAGCACTTAAATGCATCAGTTTTCACTCAAACTTTGCGTTCCTTTAAATTTTGATCGCTGATTTAGTCTAAAATCAGACTTTCAATCTGATTTTTAGGTCTGCTCGATGAAATGCCAAAACAAATCTTGACATAGTAAGACACAGTTCATGCAGGTTCTGAAGACATGTCATGAAAATATTCTCAGCATGCAGTGAGCTTCAGATCTGCAAGGGGCAACAGCCAGTCTGCTGCTATTACACATCAGGGATGCAGAACAGGACATGACAGAGTAACAAACCCGACCTGTCAGCTCCTCCTGGTCTGCTTCATGAGGACCGACAGTGAAACAGGCTGCTGAAGTGTGTGCGTGGCTGTAAACACAGACCGAGCTTCACAACTTAGATCAACGTTCAGGCAAAAAACAGTCCCAACAGAAACGCACGCAGCTCCGTGGATGGAGGTCAGCTGTCCGTGCAACAGCTGCCCATCATGATCACCACCATCACCATCACCATCCTCATCCTCGATGCGTTCAGGCATTCTGCATGCGCAGCGTTCAAGTTAAAGAGAAATGTAAATCCCGTTTGGCTTCAATGAAACAAAAAGAAAAAGAAAGAAACTGCAAGAATGAGATAAAAGAGGGCAAACTGAAGAATTAAATACATGAAAATGAAATAATTCTCTTAAGATCACAGAGAGAAAAGACATATTTGCAATATGAGAAGAGAAGGAAGCGAGAAAATATCACAAAAAATAAACAAAAGAACTCAAAATAAGCACAAAAAGGCAGAAGATGAGCTGCATCCAGCAACAAGCAGCGGGAAAAAGCTCCGGTAAATATTCGCAGGACAACAGAAAGACAGAGAGAAATCCAACCAGCCGCTGAAATTCGGCGAAAAAAAAAGAATGAAAAAAAAAAAATAGGAAGGAGGGAACCAAATCAGCAACAAAGAAAGAAAGAGAAGAAGAGGAAGAGAGCACTGACCTTCCAGCGGAGGAGGCAAAAACGCTCAAAGAGACTGAAGTGAGAGGAGAAGAGCGGGCAGGCGGTGAGGCTCAGTGTGCGCTCGGTTACCGGGCTGAAGCTCCGACTGCGCGCCGGCCAGTGGGGCGGTGATGAACAGCAGCAGAACGCCGACTGGAGCGAACCACTGAGCGCTGACAGGCAGGGGGAGGCCGGGCAGCACAGCGGCCGCTGGGAGCTCCGTGCGTAATTTGGCACCTGGCTAAAGAGCGAACACACAGAGCCAGAAAGGCTCTTAAAGGGGCATCCCATCCAAAAATGACATTAATGAACAAGCCTGATTGTTGTAGCTGGTACTTTGGAGAGGTAATTGACTGCAGGTACACACGTGTACACCTGTGCGCAATACAGCCTGCTGCTGTTCATGGAGTCTATATAAAACTACGCTATTATATATTTTGGTGTCACAACAGAAATTGAGCCTGATACAATTAATTCTGCTTCTGAAGCAGCAGTGTGATCACTGAGTGCAGCGCACACACACACACACTTAAAGCGCACGTTCTCGGTCACCTTTCGCATCCCGCTTGTTAATTTCATCGTTACTCGCCGCCCTTAATCAAACAGTTTAGTGGATCACCGTCAGCAGCAGGCTGCAGGTCTGCATTATGCTCGATAACTCCATGTTAACTCACCTGTGTGTCTGTTGGCGGGTTCCTCCATTCAAACAGAGGCGCTGGCCAATCAGATGTTAAGAACAACGCTCATCCAGGTGATGTAACAGTCACGTGATCCAAAGAGATAATGTCAATAATTTTCATGCGTAAAACACATTTCACTGCAGATCAGCTTATGAAATTGTTGGAAAAAGATGTTTTAAAAAATATATGTTTATTCTTTGTATAACTGTAAGAAATGCATTTGTAAAAGTATGTGGTTAATTCCAGAAACAGTGCACAATGGGCTTTTCCAGGAAAAGGTGGAAGGTGTTACCCAATCAGCAGTGCCATGTATTCAAAAAACAAATTCTCACATGTTGTACATTGAATGTTTGTTTTTATTTCACACTTGCTTTGGCAATGTCAGTGTGTGTTTATGCCAGGAAACAGTGGATTGTCCTCTGGGTTGAGAGTGAGTTGCAGCCTCAAGCGAGGGAGGGATGCTTCCTGGGTGCCTCCTGTTAGAGGTGTTCCAGGCACGTCCCACTGGTAGGAGGCCCCGGGGCAGACCCAGAACATGCTGGAGGGATTATATATCTCATCTGGCCTGGGAGCACCTCAGGGTCCCCCAGGAGGAGCTGGAAAGTGTTGCTGGAGAGAGGGGCATCTGGAATACTTTGCTCAGCCTGCTGCCCCTGCAACCTGGCTTTGCATAAGCAGTTGAAAATGGATGGATGGATGGATGGATGGATGTTTCCCATGCCAGTAAAGCCACTTGGAATTAAAATTAAATTAAATTAAATTAAATCAAAATCATACAGCATGTTTAAGCCCTTGGACTCAAAAAGTCTTCTGTTTCCACCCAACAGTAATAGTTGCATTAAATATTGTTTCCTCATACATGCACATGATACAGAAGAGCCCTGCTGGCGTCTTGACATCACTGAGTGAGAAAAATGACAAGTACAAAAGCCCAGTTCAGACCAATAATCTGAGACAAGACCAAAATGTTTTAGAACATCACAGAGAAAAGTTGCAGCAGTGTGAACTGGCCAGTTTGAGCTCGACTCAAGCCGGTTGATGGTGTCACCTGGAGCTCAGCTGGTCAGATTGCCAGCTGCTGGTTTTAAAGCAAGTCACCTGTTTCTACAGCCAATTGGCTTGTAGTCCGCTAGTCAAGTTAAAATGGCCGAAGATGGTGTGCTAACTTGCTGCTGCAGGTGCTCCGTCCCTGCTGAGTCCACTGTTTCTGTCCTCACGGTGTGCCGATGTCGGATGGTGGGTCACTGCTGTTGCTCGCTGCCTGAAAAGCTGGAAATCAGAACAGACGTACAGAGTTGTTGCATAGAGATGATACACCATCTCATGTAGTTGCATTGGTGTGAACTGGCAGGTTTTCAGGTTGTTACAGAAAGGCACATTGCAAGTAGTTGCCTGTTTCAACTCGTCTCTTCACAAATCTGTGGTCTGAACTGGGCCTAAGAGAAAGAAATACTCAAGTAAATTTCAGACATCCTGGAAAGAAGAATTCCAGCTTGCTATAGAAAGTTTTAAAGAATAGGGACCTGCAATTTGCAAAATCAGCAACGTTGATTGTCCGTTGTGACATGGTGGAAGATATACATTAAATAAAGTAACTTCTTTGTGATCTATCTTCTCTGACTATCCTCTCTTACGTTGATGCTAGCTTTAGTCTCGAGTCCATCATAGCTAGGTGGGTTAGCATCTTTTCCTCTGATCTTGTGTGGTCACTTCACCTTTAGCTTCTCTGAGTTTATCCCCCTCCGTATTTTTGACAGCATCCTATCGAGTTAAAACAGCTGAATCTGGAGAATTAATACAGTGGAGTGGGAGAGAGTTCTGTCAGCCTGCCATTCTTTACAGCGTGCCAACCGGGAGTCATTAAGGGGAATTCTCAGTGGAGTCAGTGTTACTCCAGGATATTTTCATGCTGCTTGCTCAGAATTGAGAATATGTCATGTTGAATTTCTGTGGGTGCCAGGACAGAAGTTGGGTAAATTGCTGAAGAGTCTCTAGCAAAGGGTGCTTCAGTGTTTGTGAGGAAAAATGAGATACAGAGAGGCAGAAAGAGTGGAAAGAGGAGATAAAGAATATAGGCTCTACTTCCTCTGCAAGTCACTGCTAAGAGGAAGAAGTTATATATATGAGTGGTGTGAGGAGGAATTTCTGCTAATAAGCTGCGGCTTGGCTTGCCATAGCAACTGTGTAACTACACAGATAGATAGGTATGAAAATCACAGGCAAACACACTGAAGGACTTTGCCAATGTGGTGATAAACAGTCAATTAAGTTTTCTTTCCTGTGGTAAATACAACAGGAAGAGACAACAACTGTTTGTCTGTCTTCTCTTTGAAGACTTTGTTTTCCTCTGAGAAGAATTTCCAGCATTTTAAAAAGAGCTATTTTCAGTTATTTACCCATTATGTATAAAAATAATAATAATATATTAGATATAAAAAACTGAGAAAGGCTCATTGCTGCCTTCACAGATTGGCTGAGAAGCACTCCATCATCAGCACAGACCATAGTATCATGCTAAGTACAAGACCCTCCCTAGTTAGTTTGATTTGTGATCTCAAAGACAGTCGTGTGGACTTTCTCCAGAATCCAGTAATACATTCTTAGAGCGGATTTATGTGCATTTTTTCCCTTGAAGATAAAGTGAGTGACCTAATATTCACACTGTATTTTTCATATTATCCAATTTTGTATTAATTGATCTGAGATAATGAATTAAACTTCAGCACGTGCTGCTAAATCACTTAGGCAGGAATGGCTAAAGAAAGTGTATCATAAAGAATGTGATGACAGAGACGTGCTTGTTTTTCTTGAGAGGCCACTGCGTTTGAATAGTTATTCTACTGTGTATTTTTGCATTATATGTAGTATTTGTTACATTTTAAATGTGTTTTGTTTGGCTTCTCCCTTGGCCAGGTCTTTCTTGTAAAAGAGATTTTCCATTTCAATGTGACTTCCTGGTTAAATAAAGGTTAAATCAAATAACAAAAACAGTGTTTGTTTATCCTTATACATTTTTATGCCTCCGTGCCAGCGACAGCAGTGGCTGGAGGCATAATGTTTTTTTGTTCTCGGTCCATCCATCCCATTCTTGTGAATGCAATATCTCAAGAACGCCTTAAGGGAATTTGACACAATTAGATTTTGGTGGTCAAAGGTCAAGGTCACTGTGACCTTGCATACATCTCATTCTCATTAACACGATATCTCAGGAACACCTTGAGGGAATTTCCTCAAATTTGGCACAAAGGTCCACTTGGACTCAACGATGACCTGATTAGATTTAGATGGTCAAAGGTCAAAAGTCAAAAGTCACTGTGTCCTCACAAAACATGCTTTTGGCTATAACTTAAGAATTCATTCGCCATGTATGACAACATTTCATACAAATGCCTACTGTGATAAAATGATGAAGTGATGACATTTTATATTCAAAAGGTCAAAGGTCAACTTCACTGTGACGCCATGATGTTCTGCATGAAGCACTTTTCTGGCCATTACTTGATGTCATAACTCAGGAACTGAAGGGGACACATTTGGTCAGATACTGAATTGTGACACTAATCTTTGGGGTCCACCTTGAAACTGTGCTGACTGTATAGATCTTATGTGTGTGAAGCATCCATGTAAACTGTGGGTGCAACTTCACTAATGCATGAAGGCATACAATCGCAAGGTGGTAATTCTGGTTTTGTAAGTATTTTTTGCACAGTAGTGCTTCTTTCTATAGTAGGAGAGGGAGCTGAGTAATGAGCCACTGTAATAGTTTCAAATGGTTTTCCAGAGGACAGTAGGGACGTTACACGATGAACTTTGTTGAGGAAGTTGGCAGTAAGGGTTGTCACATGTGTACAATTGAACATTTTGTCTGATGCATTGAAATAAAACATAAATAAATAAGAAAATTCGTATAACGTTTTGACAGTTTTCCTCTAAAAATGTTAATAAAAACAGGTGAGCTCATTACAAATAATTCATTATTCATCACTGTAATTTATCCACCTGTCATACATTGCATGTATTATACTGTTTCCTTTAACAGTTTGATTTCTCTGAAACTTGCTGATATATTGTTTTATTGTTCTCTTTTTTGAAGAATATTTTCTTCAAGAGTGTATTTCTTCCATTTTCTGTAACTGCTTTTCCTCTTGAGGGTCGTGGGAGGGCTAGAGCTGATTCTAGCTGACACTGGGTGAGAGGAAGAGTAAACACTGGACAGATAGCCAGACTATGACATGTGGCATAGTCTGGCATTGGGCAGACAACCATCAACCGAACCTGCGTGTCTTTGGATTGTGGGTGGAAGCCGGAGAGCCTGGAGATGCAGGGAGAACATGCAAACTCCACCCTGCCGGCCTGTGGCTGCAGACCCAGGGCCTTCTTGCTGTGAAG